GGGATCATTAAATGTTATGCTTACATGTGACTTTATCTAAAATGTCTGTCCTTCGAAATGTACGTAACACTTTTAAAAAGCAATATCCGTATTTTCTAAAATACAAAACCAGTTATTTTTGCAGGTGAGGATATTTATTCAAAGCTTGCAATATTAACAGCAAAAATTGAGAGACCAAGATCCTAGCTTTATCATCAAAACTCAAAAGGTCTTCTCTAGATCACTTTTGGGCCCATTAGTGTGGAATTACATTGCACATACATACATGTACACGTGTACATTTCGTGTAATTATCATTAATATTTTAGGTTTTGATGTAAACTGTACTTTTCCAGGGTCAATATTTGGTACACGTACATTACAATGACGTTCACGTGTGTATGTGTACATGTATGATAAGTAATTACGAACATCATTGAATTGAATTTAATGACATGTAAATTGAATATTATTTCATTTCTCATGGCCAGAAGGCCAAATCCCATATACGGTAGTATTGCAATTAAAATTTATTTACAAAATACATAAAATTACAGAGCAGATTATCAGCTATTCTGTAGTTCAGCACTTGAACAGTCTAATTAAAGGGAAGATACAACATTTGCAAACATCCAAAAACGAAATGATCAAATAATCACGAAATACCGGTACCTTACTGAATTGTTAGGGAATGACAGTCTAAAGCATCCTGCAAAGTCGTGGCCCCTGGTGTGCTGACTTTTGCAAGAAAAATTGTATTTTTCCAACGCTGGTCGGCCGACCAGCATTGGAGAAAACTGGCTATTTTCAAAAACAGCTCCTAATTTTTCAAATTTAGTTATTCCGCATTTTCTTTGCAATTGATTACACACCTGTGAAGGAGCATAAGCCTGATTCTCTGACCTTACAATTCCCCAAAGTGTATTAATTGCTCCGTTTCATCTTAAGTGGGGTCAGGGAACCAGACTACCAGAACATGATTGGTTTTCTTGGTTTTTCCAGCATCTACAAGCCCAAAACGAGAAACAAGTCAGTTAAAACCATATCTGCTATAACATACTAATCCTCCAAATCCATTTATTTCTGAAAAGTGCAGCAAAAGCAAATGTTGTACATTCCCTTTAATTCAAAATACACAAGACCAAATATACTACACTGAAAACTGACTTGGTAAATAGCAGTCGCTGGTGAAAGCGTGAAATGTCAGAATGCGACGGTCATTCATTAACAGGACACACACAGCTGTCTTACGTCCGTCAATTAAGAAAATGAGAATTAAATAAACAACTCTGTGTTCATATGCAGACTTCTCGCAAACAGTAATTGGGCAATTTCAGCGTTATGAAAGGAAGCGGTAATGTCTGTGACAGCTAGCCAATTAACCATGATATCTTATTCATAAATACCTCAGACAGTTTAGCTATTCCTATTGGTCGAGTGCCCGTCACGTGGCCGGTCTTAAACGGATGATAAAGACATGGCTAGCTGGTCTTAAACACTTTTCCAGTGTCACATAAAATGTGGACTCCTAAAAATCCGGTGCCTCTTACCGTTTCATTGGTGAACGTTCACAATCCTCACGTAGGCATGCGCAACACTACCAGCGAGTCAGAATTTTATAGTTCTAAATTCAAAACGCAACGCCCCAGGTGCGTTCTGCGTGACATCGTGCAGAACATGCTACGCGCGCGTCAATCTCCATAAAAGGGTTGTTTACATCTTACTCGCCAGCTGAATTTTGCTAGAGGGATGTTTCAAAAAGCATGAAGTGAACTTGTTGAACAAAATCAGGATTTTTTGAACGAATTATTTGATTTTTTCTTACCAAAAAGGTATTTAGGAATGGGAATAAATATGTGCTCGGTCGGTATTTATCACTCTGTTTAAGACCGCTTAGAGTCTGGGTGCTGATAATTACCCTCGCCTCCGGCTCAGGTAATTATCAGCACCCAGACTCTAAGCGGTCTTAAACAGAGTGATAAAAACCTCTCGAGCACAGATTTATCCCCTTATTAACGATTCAGAGAAACGATAAAAAAACTCCTAGTCTGTAATCTCCTTGACTATTACTACTACATGTACGATTAGGTGATAGATCAGATTTGAAAGAAATACGTTTTCAGGTTTATTCGCTCGATGAGCTCTTAAAGGTAGAGGACATAGAATGTTTCATTTGTCATTTGTACATTTTTTTTGTTGGAAGCTACATGTACAAAATGTACAAGCAAAAAGTGCTCAAAATCTAAAGAAGAGTGCTTATAAATACCAACTAGCCTGATGAAATTTTAGTTCAGTGAATGCATATATTCTGAGAAAACAATATTCAAGGATCTCGATTCATTTCGAAAGTTGCAGAGTCATGTTTTGAATTGCGCCCGAAATCAGTGTCTGGGACACGTTCTCATTCAGTCGATTGCAGCTATGTGATGTCCCGCACTGAACCGACGAGTTTTAAACACTGGGCTCGCGTGTACGTCGTGTCAACGGTTGTGCGTACGGTGTATCCATTCACAGCTGCGCCAAATTGAAAATGAACTATTAAAGTATTATAAATTCCAAAAATGCATCTTTACACGCATCTTTGGATGCCAGAAAGAATCATTTCACAGGGAGTTTAGTGCCGTTACTATCTTTAAACCAAGTATGCTTTTCAACAATAATTTTGTCAGTCTTTTATGGAATGCTGCAAATGATATACTCTACCGGTACCTTTAAAAGCTCTGTGTGGGACATTACATAATGACAGAAGAACTTCAAGGCAATTTATGGTCTTGAGGAAATTATGTATCTATATTAACCCTAACCCCCAAGGCATTTTCGCAGCATCATCAGTATTTCAAAATCGTCCAATTGCCGCTATAAAATTGGATACAGCCTCAATCCTCCAAATTCATCCGTTACTTCTTAAAGCTGTACCTTAGCTGGGTGACCACTTCCTAACTCCTTCAAAATCCTCCAACAATCACTGTTTCGGCAGAGTCGATGATATCCAGAAGCAGTACAGATGATATCAAGTATAATCTATGCATAATTTATGCATGGCTAAGCATTTATAAACAACACAAAACAGCTTAAGACCTTGACACAATTCATCCTCCAAAATTAACGGGTACCGGTATGTACATGTCATTGCATACAGCTTCATTCTTACCAAATCTTCCAAAAGCACGTGGTTGTTTTTGGAGGATTGAGGATGGGTAATAGGGTGAAGTATGAGTTTTCCAGTATTTGCAGGAGTCATTACAGAGACAAACACAATCAATTCTTCTGCTTTTTTGAGGTAACATTTTATTTTCACACCCAAAATGTTTTCAAAAACTTGGAGTTAAAACAAATTCCTTTGGTTACCAAAAATAATTGATAGCTTTTCTTCAATATGTTTAATGACTGTCAACACTGGTAGGGATTTTGTTATGAATTTAAAATTTTCAAATTCAAAATTTTCAAATTTAAAAGGCCATGGAAACCTTAATTTGTTAAAATACATTTTTTCCGTGTGTGACATATTTTAGTATTAACATTTTAATTGCCTCTTGTTATTTAATAACGACATCTACATCTAATATAGAACATCCCCTTTTTACCAGTGTGGGTACACATGTTTAAACAAGTTGATTAAATTAAATACAATATTCCATGAAAACATTTGTATTCAAAATTTTTCAATTGAGCATATTTGTACTTTGATACTATGGCTTTTAATTTACAACATGTAAACTCTCTTTTATACCAGTACCAGTGAGTGTTAAAATCAACAGTTCATAAAGTTCTTTACCAGTGGCGTCACCAAGGGGGGGCCAGGGGGGGCACGTGCCCCCCCTGGAAAACCTAGTGCCCCCCCCCCCCCCCCCGAGTGCCCCCCCCCCCATCAAATGCTGGTGCCCCCCTATCCTCTGCAAAATTCTGCACGTTGATAAAATCATTACCTCAAAAATAGCAATTTCTGGAGATATCTTCAGATCGAATTTAGCATCAAATGTGGCACCATTTTGCATCTAGCCCATCCTCCGTATGCGAAAATTTTCCAAAGGGGAGGGGGGCACCCCCAGGACGGCGATCCGTATCCACCTAAGTGCCCCCCCCCCCATCAAATGCTGGTGCCCCCCCTGTGCCCCCCCAGACTGAAAAGTCTGGTGACGCCACTGTTCTTTACTATTCTATGAAAGCACTAGAATGCTTATGAATTCAAAATATTCAATGTACATAATTTTGATGGATGGCATTTGCTGATTATAAATGTTTGTCTGCTAATTACCTTATATTTTGTCGACTGCTGTGATGTGGGATATGCCGTTTTAAACACTCAAGGGGCCCATAAAGCGAAATACCGTTATCCCACATCACAGCAGTCAACAATTGTTTATCATGTCAACAAGTCAAAAAGATCAATTGTTTTAACCTATTACATGTATGTACTATGCAAGAAATAAATGAAATCACAGCGATCCAACCTTTGATAATTGAAGGCTTTCCTGCCCGACATGAGACTGCGCGGTGTCACAGTCGTGAGGGCGCGTGCAGGTTCCACACGCGTGGCAACGCGCGCAATGAACGCAGTGTGGTATGCTTTTTTTGTATAGACTGGACATGTGACTATTCTAGACCAATGAAATTACAGTATCCAAGCACACGATACAACAAACTGTTTTATGCCAGTGTGTGTTTAAATTGGAGGTCATTTGAAAACGTTCATTTGAGTTTAAGAAATGGTCAATCCTGCTACAAATTTGACTCACTTTTTAATGACTGCATGTATTTTGTACAGTAAACTCAATTTTTTTTTTATTATTGTGTGTTCAAATCAAAAGTTGATCACATTGACCTGTTTGAACTTGTATACAACCGGTACTGTGATCTTAATCTACTCCACATTAAAAAAAAAAACAAGGAATATTCATGCCAAGTCTCGGTAAAACAAAACAAAAAACTAAAGGTTCCCAGAAAATCCAAATGTCAAACGGTCCCATGAATGATAATTTCTTCTTTCTCTCCCCCCCCCCCTTCTCTTTTTTTTTTTCCAGTCCTCGTTGTCCGCTCTGCCCTCATTTTCTTAGCCCGAGTAGGGAGTACCAGCGTTGCAACAACTTACTCTCCTCTCGTCTCCAAGGCGATCGAGCCGTTTCCAACGTGTGTCATCGCCATAGCAACCCAACCTCCGGGGCGATAACTCCCAAGGTAGTTTGTGATCATCTGTGGCAGGCTACCAAATTTGGAATTCGCAGGAAGAGGATGTAGCCTTATAAGGAAAGCGCCTCACAGATGAAAGACATCTTTTTATCCAAAAAAAAAAAGAATTTTTTTTTTTTATGTTCGGACAATTTTTAATTTTTTTTTTGGCTGAGGATCGAAGGATAGATAAATGGGAGAACCACGACAGCCCGTCATGTTAGAGACGGATGTGTAGCGACGCTTGCAGGACCTGACTTGTTTTTATCTTTGATTCTGCCGAGTGCGCTTAGGATCACTATGCTGTTAGACTTTGAGAGGCTGGTATGTACAATGAATATTGATTTCTATTTAAATAGCTAGCTTGGTTTTTTGTTTACCTGGAAGGTCACGTTTCATTGGCATTTAGCCAATTCATCACATATGCTGAATATGTACCGGTACCTGGGCCCAACTTCAGAAATTCTACGCTTACCTTGTAAGCAATCCTTAAGGCCAGTGTACACATACGCGACTTTTGCGCTCGAAAACGTTACGCGCTTTTACAAATACGCACAAATAAATGATAATGTTGAGATTCATGACTTTGTCGCGTCGTACATGTAAACATGCTCATTGATTCGTGTGTACCTGTAACAGATGCGCAACATTGTCGCGACAATAAATGTCGCGTATTTGTAAATTGGCCTTTAGTTAGTTAAGTTTTTTTTGTCGCGTCGTACATGTAGACATGCTCATTGATTCGTGTGTACCTGTAAAAGATGCGCAACATTGTCGCGACAATAAATGTCGCGTATTTGTAAATTGGCCTTTAGTTAACCTTACAATAGAACACTTGCACTTTTCCCAAATGCCATGCAAACCTCTGACTGACTGACTTTCACTTGTAAATTAGACTTGCGTTAGTCTCTCTTGCTTAGCTGTCACTTGTAAATTAAACTTGCGTTAGTCTCTCTTGCTTAGCTGTCACTTGTAAATTAGACTTGCGTTAGTCTCTCTTGCTTAGCTGTCACTTGTTAGTTAGACTCCAAATCTATCTCACTGACAGACTGTCACTTGTGAATAAAACTGCAGTTTGGTATCTCCATGAAGTAGTCCAGGTCAAAGGTCATTCGGGATAAAATGGCGGACTCGACTCTAGCGTCTTGTAACTGCAAATGCCCGTTCTGCTCCGTCTCCTTGCTGCTCATGCGACTTTGATGAGCATTCCATTATCCCGAATGATGTTTTAGTAATGTTTTAAGCCACATTTAAAAATTAATGAAATGTTGAGGCTTGTGAACGCACGGCAATCATAAAATAGTCTGGCACCATCGCAGTCAACACTTTACAATTTATAAAATAGATTCAGGGAACACAACCAAAATGGCTTCCGTCGTGAATTGCTCTGACACATCATTGATGACAGTTTTTACAAACTTTTGTCTAGACCAGGACAATTTTTATTTCTGTAATAGATTTTTAATTATTGTCCAAAGATATAAAATAATGAGGTTTATAGTTGTGTGATTTTTCATATTCTACTTTCTAACAATCTTTCCAACTTATTACATCATTTCGAGCTAAGCGTGTGGTCGAGCCAACAAGGGCACATTCTCTCTGCAGTGCTTCTTTTAAAGGGGCACTAGGTCCTGAAATCCCCGAAAATGTTATGTTTTGGATTGTTTTCTTAGCCTATTTCAAACATCTGGTTGAAAGGAAACCAAGCTAATTTCTTACCGTTCCCGAGAAAAGACGAAAAATCCGCTTGTTTACATCGGACATGACGGAGTACGAATACGTTTTTCGTGTCGTTCTCAGTGTACATGTACGTTATACGCGTTGTGTGTCTCGGGAACAGCGCGCAGTGACCAATCACCAATGCAACAAATTGTGGTTTCTTCAACGTCCGCAAAAGGCGAACACTTTACGCGTACGAATGAAATCACAACTAGCATCCAAACGGCTCGAATTTATGGGGTCGCAAAAGTGGACCCTGAAATGCGTTCTCGCACGCATAATACAGGAATAACACAAAAACGCCCAGTTTTGAAAGGATAGTTGTGTGGATGTTTATATCCTACTTTTAAATGTTATTTATGATTATCATCATCTCGTTCAAAGCGTGTTTTGTAGCCCAATTGGGCTGTTCCAGGACCTAGAGTCCCTTTATGAATGCATCATTTATTTGTTGTGTCTGTATTGTTCAGGGCAGATTATCCTGACAGCACCATAGATGTAGCAGTAGCCACGCCTGATATACTTAGGGGGAGGCAACATATCAGCCACCGGCCATGTTGACCAAGGAATACCGCATCCCCCTACCACTGAGTGTGGAGGAGTATCGAATAGCACAGCTCTACATGATACAGGTAAGTCAGAAGATTTCCCTTAAAGTTACCGCGGGTTAGTTGCCTTCCAAATTGCTCAAAGCTCAAAATTGCTCCAAATCTGAGGAAGGTTGAATAACGACTAACCTGCTCAGCTTTCAGCTCAGTAGATACTGCGCATTTTTAGAAAACAGTGTGATACATCCCTAAATCAGCAATTGGGATGTGATTCTCATTCACGCGGTCAGGATTCTGGCGATTCTTGGCATGGATGAGTTACGCATTGAGCACTGATCTTTATTACTAATTCATAAATAATATTCATAAGATGAAATTTGCATTGGGGCTGATTTTTTTGCCCTTCTTCGACGTATAAATGCTAAACATGTATGCTCAGTGTGTTACCTCCCGAGTGAAAGTTGGAAAAAATCACTAGGTTGGGACTCGAACCCACAACCTCCTGCTTTCTAGTGCAGACGTCTTACCACTCATACATGTAAATTCATAAATACCTGAAACAGTTTACCTATTTCTATTAGTCGAATGCCCGTCACGTGGGTGGTTAAAAACCGCCGGTTAAACACCGGTCAGTGATGTTTTAAACCAGTCATGAGCACCGATGCTCCGCGCCACAAGAGCGTAGTACGCGCCGTGCGCTCTGCTGGCTTGAGAGCCACTGATATGATCCCATACAAGGAGACGCGTCCACAGGCGCGCGCCACATGCACCATAGAAAAGTCCCGGACGCGGAGTGAAATGGTAGAACAAAACTTGTTGGAAGTTTGTCAACGTTTCGACTTTTTATGGTTTTTAACCACAAAGGTATTTATGAATGGGGATAATAGTGTGATGGAGAAGTTATAAACGCTATGTTTAAAACTGGTTCGGGGCCTGGTCGCAAAAAATAGCCGTGGCCTTCGGCTTGGGCCATTATCGGCTGCCAGCCCCTGAACCAGTTTGAAACCAAACATTTTATATCTATTCATCACACTATTATCCCCTTATTGACACTCGCTTAATCCATGGGGTAAACTCAGGCCCATGTACATTTGACCATCCAACATCATTGGGTAAGTTGATCAAGGGCCATAGTTAACCATAGTTCGACTAACCCTGATCAAACACACGCTAGTCGACAGTTGTTGGACTAGTCGACTAGTTCAGGACCAACCCACCACAGTTGGTCGCAACGATTTATAACTGGTTATCAATAGTACATTTTTTAGCATATATGCAGAGGGGACCAACTATCAACAAAAATGGCGGAAAAACGAAACTATGAGTGCTACATTGAATTTTCATTGCATAGTTTTTCCATGTCAATTTTAAATACACTTCTTTCACTTTTGTCAACATTGTACAAATATAATGGTGATCATTAAAGGTGTCTTAAACTACACAATCACTTTATGTAAATAAACTGAAACATCAAGTGTTGAAAAATGCTTTAGCAGATGTGCGACCGCTATTTGACGGTCGTTGACATGACAATAGTTTGACTAGAGTCATTCACACTTCAACTCAGTGCACATGTGCTAGGTACATGTATGTCACAAACCAACCACTAGTTAACCACTGGTCCTTGATCGAACATGCTCATTGTGTGATTAAATTGACTAACGAGGGCGGTATAAACAAGCTTGGTTGCTGGCACCCTTATAAAATCCATCTTCAGTGATTGTTTACTTGTAAACAAAACCACTTCAGGTGGAATTATTTTGCAAGGTACTGGTATTTGATACCTGTCCTATCTTCACTTTGCGCAAGGGTTCTCTCCTTACAAATGTATACATGTAAATCTGCAGGTACTTTTCCAGGTAAAGAGTACAATGTAGTTGCAAATAATCTTACCGGTATGTGGCGTTAAAGGGAAGATACAACATTTGTAAACATCAAAAAACAAAATGATCAAATTATCACGAAATATCTTACATGTACTGGATTGTACATGTAAGGGAATGACAGTCTAAAGCATCCTGTAAAATCGTTGCTCCTGGTGTACTGACATTTTCAAAAAACTTGTATTTTTCCAACAACTGGCTTTTTTTTTTAAACTGCTCCTAATTTTTCATATTTAGTTATTTCACATTTTCTTTGCAATTGATTACACACCTGTACGTGAAGGGGTACAAGCCTGCTAGACTGATTCTTTGACCTTACAATTCCCAAAAGTCTATAAATTGCTCAGTTTCATCGTAAGTGGGGTCAGGGAACCAGACTACAAGAACATGATTGTTTCCTTGGATTGCCCAGCATCTCCAAACCCATATTTCACAATATTTGCTAATCCTCTCAATCCATTTATTTCTGAAAATTGCAGCAAAAGCAAATGTTGTAGTACATTCCCTTTAAAGATCCTTGCACTTTTTTAACCACTAGTACAAAGTCTATCGTGTAGTAACTTGTGAATCCAGCAAAGCTGACACCGGGGGGGAGAGCTTGCTGAATCTCACAAACTCAAACTACAGCAAAGAGTGCAGCCTGTTACACCCCACAGAGAAGCAGGAGAATGGTGCATAGGGCTGTTCTGAATATACCCAATATTTCTGAATATTTTACAATGAACCTAATAGGCCTATTCGAATAGCTTTTTGCTGGTTCAAATATTCTAAAAAACAAGCTCGAAATGATCGTGGAAGCTGCAGGCCAATGAATTCGTGTTCATGCATGAGTGACGTGATTGTGCCATGTACATGTAATTTCTGGAGGGAGTAGTGTTTTGAGTAGAAAAATCAGGTTTTTGACCCTAGTGACCCCATTATGACCTTTTACGGTCAGTGGAGACCCATTAAAGTGACACAAAGGGGTGGGGGGGGGTGGGGCAGGGCCTGATTGACTGAGTTTGGGCCAACGCACTGTGAATCTCACACAATTACATGTAAATCTTAAAATTAATGTGGCCTGACGTTGCGAACTTAGCAAGTTCTTCTTCAGAGGCTAAAACAGAAACTTTTTTTCATGTACAATTACATGTAGTTATTAAATCATATAGTGCCATTCTTAGGCAGTATTAACTTGCTTTAACATAATGAAGTGCAATTTTTTTATACACGCATGTGCACATCTTAATATTTGATTATTATAAGATGGTAAGACATCTGCACTAGAAAGCAGGAGGTCATGGGTTCGAGTCCCACCCGAGTGATTATTTTCCAGCTTTCACTCGGGAGGTAACACACTGAGTATACAGTGTTTAAACGTCGGTGAAGGGCAAAACCTAATTTGATTTATATCACCCGACGCAAAAATTCCATCTTATAATAGTTTATGCGGTACCCGCTGGTATGTACATCAGATTCGAACCAGCCAACCGATCCCGTTAGCTCAGTGGTCGAGTGGTAAGACATCTGCACTAGAAAGCAGGAGGTCGTGGGTTCGAGTCCCACCCGAGTGATTTTTTCCAACTTTCACTCGGGAGGTAACACACTGAGTATACAGTGTTTAAACGTCGGTGAAGGGCAAAACCTAATTTGAGTATTTGATTACATATAAGAACCAAACAACACGTGAAACCGTGAACTATTTAGCTGTCAGGAAATTTATAGTTAGATGTTTCATGCTTTGTCATCAGATACTGTATTTAGCTACAAACAGTGCATTATTTTGCTGTCAGGAAATTAGTTAGATGTTCCATGCTTTGCCACATATTGAGCAACTAAAATCATATGTTTATATTTCACTGTTGGTTCAATACTATGGGCAACAAATATCACAATGTAAAGAGGGACACCCAAATTCATTGGCCCCCACATTTACAGAATCACCCAATTACATATCATTAAAGAATTTACAAGAAGCATCAAGTCAAAACAATTTTTGCGTATCGTTTTGGAGATCTGACGTCCCAAATTCACACTGTTAAGATTTAAAAAGTTGGGAAATTTCTGTGCATTTACGTGTACAAAACACCTGCATGTATTATTAATAGGAACATAATGTGATTGCGGCAAGACGGTTAGACCGCTGACAGTTTCAGGTTTCGCCGGCCCGTGTGCGGACATTGGCAATTGGGTTTGCCATTACACGCGCCCCACCATACCGTACACACTGAACGCTATTACATTGTGTGCTCCGGCCCCCTAAGCCATCTCGAAATGATCCTAAACCGTGGCTATTGTGCATTTAGGTAGAGCCATATGGAGCCTTGTGTGGCGCCCATTTTGCCGCAATTTTTGACTTCAATAGAAGTGTACGTGCTCATAAGAGTCCATGTACTTTACTAGTACAATGTAGTATCCATGGACTGCAAGTGCAAGTAAATTTTGTACATGTACATGTACATTGTTTATTTGGAGTCTACATTTTACGTGTCCCCATCAGTGTTTCCCCTGGCTAATGAAATGAGCGAGGTGGTAAAAATTCAGATTGATGATTGGAACAAAATTGACGCAGTTGCAAACTCAAAAGGATGCTGCCCTTACAAAAATGCGAGATGATTCCATTTACACATCCAAATTGTGAGTTCTTGATACATAGAGGTCAAGGAAAATGCTCAAAAATTACACAAAATGAAAATTTTTCAATAGTATTTCCTTTATTGCAAATCTTCACAGCGAGGTGGTGATATTGGCAAAAATTGAGCGAGGTGGTCACTGAAAGTAGCGAGGTGGGCCGCCTCACGTTTGAATGGGCAGGGGAAACACTGGTCCCTATACCCTGTGACATCTGACATGTAAGATTTCTGGATGCACCCCTTAATACCTTTTGCCCCTAAATGAATTATGTAAAGCTAACTATATACCTACCCAACAAGTGAGCATAGTTTGTGAACTCATTGTTAAGTTAAAGGGAATATACAACATTTGCAAACATCAAATACAAAAACTACCAAATAACCACGAAATACCTTTAGTGAATGACAGTCCATTCATCCTGTAAAATCATGGCACCTGGGGTGCTGACATTTTCAAGAAAAGTGGTATTTTTGTATCAATTTCCAACGCTGGTCGGCTGACCAACCTTTTGAAAATACTGGCATTTTTTTTTAAATGCTGCTCCCAATTTGTCTTTTTTAGTTACATGTAGTCCCTAAGTTTGTTTGC